CTAACGCCTCGTGCAGTATCAATATATTACTTAACGTCTCGCTCTCGACCATTAAACCATACTTAGATCAGTGCAGCACTGGTGTAACGTTGTGCTAATTCAACCTCAGACCCACTCTGTATTTGAAATCAATCCGAGTAAATGTGTTGAGGTTGTGTTAAATATGGATATGTTTACACGACATGAACACCAGTGTCGTATCTACGTTACCCAAGCACTACTAACTAATACCTAAGCCTCCCAGTGTGTCTATATTTTCAATATCAATTTCCCGATTTAAGAAAACAAATATAAATGAAAACATAATTAGGCAAGGAACTTTGTGCAATATCATTTCTAATTACATAAAAACTTATTAGATAATAATAACTTGATAAAAAGTTATTATCTTGTTAAACATAACTGTAACACTAACCCCTTAGGATTTAGAAAAAAATCCCAGTTCAAGTCATTTATTACAACACTGGTGTGAAACAGCAGACGACAAATAGGGAACTTTTTAAAAGTCTTTCAGGTCTAGTTTTCGGGCTTAAAATGTTGTTTTTAACCATAAATAGACAAAACATAAGACACAGATCTGCTGATGTACGAACTGAATAATGGTCAAATATAGATGACAACAGATATTCAACATTGATCTCTGTTACTTAACTTCCCGAAGGCGGTTAGAAGTTTGGCCGAGAAAGTTCATCCAGATTTTCCGGCGTGGTTCCCCCTTGTCAGTGATGCAGGACGGAGGGCCTGACAAGGACATCTATCTAGTCCTTCGGATGAGACGAAAAACCGGGGTCCCGTGTATACATTGGAATGCACGTAAAAGATCCCTTGGCAGTTGGAATTCGATATAAGAGTAGGCGATAGTGCCGCTGGCCGGGCAAAATTTCCCTCATAGCACACTGTATGGCGTATGCCCGTCTTCATTAGCCCAGCATAGGAGCAGAACAGTAGGACGTTAAACCCCATTTCATTTCGCGGTAAGAAGTTTTCCTCAATTACCTTTCTATTGATGGTTATTTTTGTTGCTGATTTTTTGTTTGACATTTCGGGCAGATTCATAAAATGTCCTCAACAATTTGACCTTGCCAACCTTAGAGATCCAAATCCAGTGGACAGATGGCAGAAATATGTTTGTAGTATTATACATTGATGGTATGATTGCTAAAATACAACGCCCATCTCATGTTGGAAATGCTTTCTGTTTTTGATCAAAATGGTAAATCGTGTAATGCACCGAATATTCAATATATTGTGAACCGGAGATGAGTAGCGAGACACATCATAAGTGGTATCCCCTGCGCTGCGCATGACAAAACTGCAGCAGAGTGGTTAGTCCAGTTTGTAATGTATTTAAAAAATATGCAACCTATTAATGTAGTATTCGGAGATGCGGCTTATAGAGAACTTCGTGGCTAATATATATACGTCATCCTTACTGGTTAGGGTCTGTATTCAATTAATAACCCTGCCCGTTGCCGAAAGATTACAATTCGTTCGCTTCTGCGACATGATGGTGATCTGAAAGGAATTGAATGCGTTAAGACCGGAGACAGAAACGAAAGTAGAGCATTAAACCAGTGTTAACACTGGTATTAAACTAGTTTAAACACTGGTATTAAATTAAGAGACCCCGCTCCGGTTAAGGCATAAAAAAAGAACACCAGTTATACACACTATAACACAACCTTATTAACACAGGCGTAACCCATTGACCCATTGGCTCGCTAACCCAAAGGTCACGTGTCTGTGTCGATCCCTGGGGGGGGGGGGGTGACAAAGTGTAGCGTCACCTGGCCCCTGTTACCCCCTACTGCTAAAGACCCTTATAGTCTTTCTGTCTCTCTCTTAGATAAATACTATACTGTATAATACTCCTGTATTATTTTCACACGTACCATTTATTCCACGCGTGTAATATAGCTACCTCAGTACCGATAAGTCACTCAAGCCTGGTAAAATAACAGGAATTTATCTCAAGATAAGGAATCTTTTCATAGTCGTTAAATAGGAATTTGGTACCAACGATAATTGAGCTGTCAAATTTCTTTCATGGACGATTGATTGATCACGTGATACAATAGTTACAGACCGATCGCATATTTTTATTGATATAATTAATATGAACTGTAATCAATAACCAAGTTATGTCGTCTGCCTGCCTTTTGTGGGTGGAAAAAATAATATGAATTATGTATGGATATAACAGCTAGAGCAATTGGCGTTTAACGTCCACTCGACACAAACTAGGCCAAACTAACGCCCCCTCCACCCGTCCTGCACCACTGACAAGGAGAAACCAGATCGGCAACTCCCGAGGAACTTTCTAGACCAACACTCTGAACGAACACAGCTTCTTACTCACTGAGTCAGCATGGCTCCCGTTGTCGAGACTAAAAGTTATTTTTATGTCAATAACTTGTCTGCATATATGCCTGTGGTCAGGTAAAATCCAGGATCGAAACCCCAACATTTGCATCGATGACAGACCATTAAGATCTCTTGGAAGCGCTGAGGCACGTTTGTCTAACAGCTTGGGTAATTACACTCTTTCCCAGGGGTTCTTTTTACGTGCACGCCAATATGTACACATGCATGTACTTCCTTATCGGCCTCGCAAGTGCCACCTCTGACAAGTCAAAATCGGGGTTGACAAATCCCAAGGTTCTTGTTCTCCAGGATATTCATGACGAGAGGTCAGTGTCCTACTGAACTTGTACCGGATTAAAAACCCACAGAGGCCCTAAGCACTTAAAGAGTTTAGTGCCCTCATATATATGTAATTCAGTAATTCAAAATTTAAACAATAATAAACCACAAACAACCTCCTAGGATTTTATACACCTTATTAATTGCGACAAAACGGTATGAAAAGCCAAAAACTATTTGAAAGTTCTTAATTAATATTTAATTTAAATATTTTAAATTTGGCATCTAACAAAGCAGACATACTGTAGTAGCCCTATTGCCATGATGTCCTAAGCACGTGCCTAGTTTGCTTCAGGGTTAATCTATCTCTGAGAATAACAATGAATACATTGAAAGAAACAATGATTTTATTTTTGATGTTCCATTAAGATGAGATATTAATAGTTAACCCGTGTGACGGTAAGTGATCTACTGATCATGTATATTTGATGAGAAGGGCATTGTCAATGTGTCAACTGTAATTAACGCCCACGACTCCTAATATAAAAAATATAATATAATACATTAGCATTTTGGAGTAATGGATTTCCGCTTGGTAAAATCCAATAAGTTGAAGGACAGATTCCGGACAACTATGTTGAGTTTGATTCTCGTGGTGTTTTCGGGGATTGGAATAGAATGGATTAGGGGCTGATCGTCGACAGTAAATTTTGGTCATTTTGAGATTAACATAATGGTGATATTCATTTCCATGGTTACGCGCGCAATGGGCGGGGATGGTGAGCGGGGAGGGGATTTTGTGGTAATTTGGTTTTGAAAATTTTGGTCAGTTCAGTTTGAAATCACGTGTTCTTCTTTAAACACCCCACAAACGTCAATTTCTAAGTGGAAATATAATTTGTATCCAAAATTATTCACCAACTGGAACAACACCGAGGTCGAACTCAGGGGCCTTTGATTAATAAGCCAGCGTCTTCATTTTGTGAATATCTTTTTTTCCGTTTGGTATTAAGTAATGGCTTGGTAGAAAACATCTTGAAACTTGCTTTAACAAACATTTTAATGAAGCGATAATAATGCAACTCGGTGTCTTGGGGTTAAATTTCAATACCATACATAAATGTCTAACCTCGTAGGTCGTACCCCCCACCCCTGTCTGTTTTTCTGTCTGTCTGTCTGTCTGTCTGTCTCTCTCCCTGACTCAATCTTTTTCTCCCTCTCTCTAATTACACGTGTATATATAACCCATATTTACGACCACGTGCGGATATATACATGTAGACATAGGACGAAAAACCATCTACGAAACAGTGGCGAAGATCGGTATCCGGTCTCACCAGTAGCAGAAGTCCATTACTGGAAGTAAAAGTAAATAACGTCTATTCCTATAGGCATTGGTATCCAGTAAAATATAACCGCGTTTCCTTCATTTAATAGCCCCTGGGGATCAATATGTAATTTCCGGTGAATCGAAACGCGATTCCTTCCCAAAACAGCCCAGAATATGACAAAACTACATGTTCAACAAACATTCACGAGAGATGATGTATCCCATTTCCTGGTTCTTCCTGCATACCAATAAATACATCCTAAAGTGCTTGAACACAATTCTGCATTACCAAACTATATTTAGCAGAATTGAAATTAAATGAAGTTAGTCCTAAACTTGCCCGTTTAAATTTGCCAGTTAGGTACAGAAAAGTAGGATGTTAAACCCCATTTAATTTGATTCATTCCTAAAACCAGCATCTATTAATGCTTTTGTTCGGAGTTTGAATTCCAATGAAAATAGTTTGCCCGTTTAAATTTGCCAGTTAGGTACAGAAAAGTAGGATGTTAAACCCCATTTAATTTGATTCATTCCTAAAACCAGCATCTATTAATGCTTTTGTTCGGAGTTTGAATTCCAATGAAAATAGTTTGTTTCCTTTCTTGTTAATACTGTCGATGAATGTAAAAGTTTCTTGTAGCACACTGCATGACGTATCTTGTCCGTGGTCATTGGACCTGTTGGTGCAGAAAAGTAGAACGTTAAACCCCATTTCATTTCTGCCATTTATCATTCACAGATTGTAATTCCAACCCACGACCCCTTCGTGTTAAAGGTAACACAAGATATTAGTACAGTACGTACCTGTTCTACCAAGGTATGCTCTATTTAATAATAAATAAAATGAAAATGGGGTTTAACGTCCTACTTTTCTGTACCAACCGGAAAAATGAAGCCGGTTATTTAATAATTTAATTTTAGTATTCAATATTCGTTTCGTTTCTTTATGTCAATGACAATATTCGTTTCGTTTCATCTATAGTTACTGTCAATGATAGCGAGAAAATTACATCGACCCATAGTAAACACACATGTGGCCTGAAGTTGGTTAATGTTTACTGTAGTAGCCGCGCGAACTGAAAGCTATAGGTATTCAATGGCGAAGCACTGTCTCGTTTTTCTTGTATAAGAACTCTTTATGCTGCCGTCCTTTCAATGACTGTGTTGTTTTTTTGTGTTTATGAGAGTTATAAGTTTACGAGTGAATGGATTTCTATGACTGTGTTCACTCGCCTGATAGCCTGTACACCCTAACTCAATGCACATAGGACGAATTGATTATTACTTACAAATATACAATCAGCAGGCTTAATATTATAGCCGCGGCTATTTATACTTTTGATAGGACAGTTTTACCAGTATTTGCCGCAATCAGGGCGACTGTATTCGCTGAATTTGACTTTTTAATTGAATAAGGTTCGACATATTAAGATTTTGTGACGAGAAGTGCGACGAGGTTATTCTTAAAACGAAAATGGTAAGTTTTTAATGTGTATTCATCCATATATTTACCTTCCTTAATATCGTACATTTCATAATATAAACATGGTTGTGAACGATGTGCAATGGTATGCCTACACACTGTTTTGCCTCTAGACTCACGTTAAGGCATTTCGTTCACTGATATAATATGTAATTCATAGCCGACTCACACACACACTCGTACGTTATCTGTTAATTAAAATTCCCGTATAAATGACCTATATTATATAAAAATGTCGATATTCAATTTTTCTCACGATCGTGTATTGAACCGAATATTAGTATTTAATAGTTGTGAATAACCTTATTGTTGACCTTAATTCGGTGAATTTGATTTTAAACACGCCTCGTTTATTTAGTTTGATTGACACATACAATATACACAGACTGACGTAAACTTATAACAATATAGGGTTATTGTTATTGTTTACTTTATGTTATATGACTTGTATGTCAACGTTATAATGAGCTCCAAAGTTTATTACGCCCGACTCCTACTAACTATATATATATAATATGTATTATCTAATAATGGTCTACGCCCGACCCCTTTCAACTATACATTATGTAATAACGAAATGAAATGAAATGAAATGGGGTTTAACGTCCTACTGTTCTGCTCCTAACCTGGGCTAATGAAGACGGGCAATTTTGCCCGGACAGCGGCACTATCGCCTACTCTTATATCGAATTCCAACTGCCAGAGGATCTTTTACGTGCACGCCAATGTGTACACGGGACCTCGGTTTTTCATCCCATCCGAACGACTAGACAGCTTTCCTTGTCAGCCCCTCCGTCCTGCATCACTGACAAGGGAGAACCACGCCGGAAAATCTGGATGAACTTTCTCGGCCAATGCAGGGATCGAACACCCGACCTCCATTATGTAATAACGATCTGTCAAGTTCATCACTGATATTCCACGCCCGACCCCACCAGCTATACATATTATGTAATAATCATCTCTCCAGTTCATCACAGACATATTACGCCCGACCTCATCTACTATATTTTATGTAATAATAATCTACGCCCGACCCCACCTACTATATATATATATATACTATATATTTATGCAATAATAATCTACGTTCGATCCCACCTACTATATATTATGTTATAATAATCTACGCCCAACCTCGCCAAATCTATATTCCAATTCCACCAACGTGTCGTTTTTGCGAGACAAAGGCCCTGGCAAGGTAAGGACGTCTAGTTGTTTGGATGGGACAAACACCGCGATTTCGTGTATTCTTTTCGCAGCACGTTAAAGACCTCCTTTAGCGCCAGTTTTCTCCGGGTCCTCCGGTTTCCTCCCACTGCTAAAGACCCCTACGCGCAAGCGAATTATGTAAATAAAATTAAACCATACGTTAGTCCCGAAATGACCTAGTTTGTGTCGAGTGGACGTTAAACCCCATTTCTCTCCCTCTCTCCCCTTTAGCGCCACGGTCCGGGCCAGCTGTTCCTCATAGCACACTGTATGCGTAAGCTCGTGTTCATTATTAGCCTAGACGGTGCAGAACAGTTGGAAGTTAAACCCCGTTTCAGTTCATATCATTTTATTGATTGTGATGGTATTGATTGACTTCAAAAGGTTAGTAAGCGAGACATAAACTTGAATAATTTACACACCATGTTGTCCATGTTTTTCAAGCATATAGTTATTACGTACATTATACTTACGTAGTCTCTGTTGACATATATAGAATACAATAATATCTTACTTAGGTTTTCTCCGGGTGTTCCGGTTAACTCCCACTGCTAATGACCTCTACGCCCAAGCGAATCATTGAAATAAAATTGAACCATATGTTAGTCCCGAAATGACCTGGTTTGTGTTGAGTAGATGTTAAACCCCATTTCTCTCTATTATATTTAATCCCATACTATAAATGGCGTCTTGGAAACCACATTGGCTCACTAATATTCACCGGGATTCTCCAGCGGCGTTTCCCCTTGTCGTTCGTATGGGATGAAAACCCGAATTCCAGTGTAAACGTTGGCATGCACGTAAAAGAACCACTGTCAGGGGACATATTACCTGATAGCACGCAGCTTGGCGTATGCACATCTTCATTAAGACGGTTGGTGAAGAAAAGTTGGACGTTAAACACCATTTAATTTCATTTCAGTAAACGGTTCTACAATAGCTAACAGAGAATATTTTAAATAATAAATGCTCCCTAACACTTCACCTAGACTCACTAATGCTTTCTTAGGCTTATAATAAATTAATGTAGGATATATATATATTACAGACGGTGAATTGTACACATACTAATTCCTTAATGGATGAGCGAAGGGGTTTATTTCTGGCAACTATAAAGATACAGATTAAGATTTTATTGGCGTCTAAACGTTTTTCTTGTTTTAAAGTCTGAGTTAGTGTATTAATTATTCAACATTGCAGAATCTTCCCCTGATATACAATAGGCCTACATTTAAAACAAAATGGCGGACTGTGTAACTATCGGTCTGGTGAAGAATGCGTGACGTGACGAGAAAACGAAACTAGCTTGATTCACCTGTAACACTCCCTCCCCATTCATAGATCATTTTTCAATGTACATGTATGCGAAGATTCGCATTTTGCCCAATTTATTGACTTTGACTTTACGACCTTTCGGACACCAAGGTTTTTACCCTTGTCCTATAAGTGCCTATTTAACGCTACTGGGAGCCACGGTGGCTAAGTGAAAGAGGAACTGGCTCGCTAGCCTGGAGGTCGCGGGTTAACTCACGGTGTTGGCCGATCGGGATTTTCCGGCGTGGTTTCCTCTTGTCAGTGGTGCAGAAGGGAGGTCCCGTATACACATTAGCGTGCACGTAAAAGATAGAATTGGCAGACAGAATTCGATATAAGAGTAGGCCGTAGCGCCGCTGTGCCGGCAAAATTTCCCACATAGCATGGCGTAAGTTCAGTCGGAACAGAACAGTAGGATGTTAAACCCATATCATTTCAATTTTAACGCCTCTGTGGCTTAAGCCTATGAAGAATGGCAACTTTATACCATCTGAATAAAATCAGACGTTTCAAAATTCGTTTTTCGATTTCTTTCGTGTCGTATTCCGTATTTTATACTCTACCTGGCTCAAGTGTAGAAATTTTCTGCACTTACTGGGACAATGAAGTCGGCGATACGCCACACAGTGTAGTATGAGGGAAATTTATCCGGGCAACAATTGAATTTCAACTGTCAGGGGTTCTTTAACGTGTACGCCACTGTGTGCGCGGGACCTCCGTTTTTCATACCATCCGAACGACTGGACGCGGTTCCACGAGCGGCCCCCTGTCCTTCACCCTGCTGGGATATCCCGAGGAGAGTTCTCGACCAACACCGGGATCGTACCCGGAAACCTAACCTTGCGCCACCGCAGCACCCAGTATATACCAAATAACAGAGAGAGAGAGAGAGAGAGAGAGATGTGGGGGTTTAACGTTCACTCGACACAAACTAGGTCATTTCTGGACTAACATATGGTTCGATTTTACTTCAATAATCCTCTTGCGCGTAGGAGGAAACCGGAGGACCCTGAGGCTGGACAGGCGACCTTACTCCTTGTCGCGTACAACTGGAGAATCGAAACCACGCCAGTTGACTCAATGACAGACTTTATGATACAACACACACGCGCTAACCATTCCGCCATCAAGCCCCACATTATAACGCAATAAACAAATATAGACTTCTTTAAGATTTCTTTTTTACAATACCACACTATGTTTTTAATCACATGATACTGACATGCCCCATATTTTCTAAAAGAATTCTCATGTTTGGTCAAAAATTGAATTTCTTCCTAGTTTATTTTTTTATGTACGGTAATTATTCTTGATGTTTTTTTTCTCAAGTTTATTTATAATCGATATTTAATGATTTATACCTTTTTCCACCTTACCCCTTATTTTGCGATCATAAAGGCAACTAGTGTTATGATATTACCAATTACTACGTTCTTGAGAAATGAAGTTTTTATTACCTAGTAAGACAATTACGTCGTTGTTACGATACGTCATGTTTCACTCATAATTAACACACCGCTGACACGTTGAATATTAAGGTTTAATAAAAGCATACTAAGGTATTTATGGTCTCAGATACAACGGTGTCAGTTGTTTGGTGTGGTTATTGTGATGGTCAATTTGTTTGTTTTGATATTATTAGATCGTCTATAATAATCGACACGGGGGAAAATAACATTCTTTATTTAACTGGGATTGACTGAAGAATGTTCACTAAAATATGCGATCTTTACCAGACCAAAGTTGTTTGTTCCTAAACTTTGTTTTGTTTACGACTGTATACAATGGCATATCTGTGATGATACCATTCTGCACAGAGACCTATTTCTACTTTGAGAAGAGATCTCTGTCCTGAATGGCCACCATATTCAAAAATAAGTATACTATTTTTTAATGTGTTTCTAATCCATTTTTCAATTTTCATACACACAAGGACTAAATAAATATTTTGGATTTTATTAAATGGAAGCAGACAAGTACTTTTCATAGTTCTTAAAATATGCCCAGCATTTTCGACTAAAATCGGCGATTTAGGAAATAATAAAATGTCGGCAAATTAGCTTCATGTCTATAGCCATACATTGGTATGGATACGTACCTCGATTTGAAGTACATAGATATTCTTCCGTATAGTTTTCAAAACATATACAACCACCATAGCTCACCAACCAAGAGAATCCGGGTTAGATGTCGAAGTTGACCGAGAACGTTCCTCGGAATGTTCCAGTGTTGTTTTCCCTTGTAAGTGGCTAGGTCTAAATATTATGGCCAACTACAGAATTGGTCATGGTCATGATGTGTCCTAGCCCTTACCCTAACCCACAATCTCGTCAACAAGCACGTGCCCAAACCTATTTACATCTCGTGACTTTTGCGAAATCTGCAGATGACCTTAATATTTAGAACAGAGCCCTTGTAAGTGGCGTCGGGTCTGGCAAGCAGTCCAGTATTTCGCACGGAACGAATAA